CGTGGAAGGTGCTCGCGATCGAGCACAGGTAGTACTGGATACAAACGTAGGACCTCATCCACTACCATACCCAGATATGGTAAATTGATGATGGTCTCATAAGATAGTTTGCCATGATCTATCAGAAGTGCGTCGCGAATTTCGTTGCGTAGTCGCTCCTGTAAATCCGGATGTTTGGCCAATTCGTACAGCGCAAAAGCCATCGTTGAAGATGACGTCTCAAAACCAGCAGTTAAAAATACTGCTGCCTGCGCTGTTAGCATATCCTGCGCCTCGTTATCGTACTCTTGCCTCGCGAGCAACTCCTTTTTCATGCCCAACAACACATCGATTAAATCGTTACGTATGGCACCAGTCTTCTCTCTTTCCGTAATAGCATGATTGATGGTGTTGCGTAGGAATGAAGAGAAGTCAGCAGTGAAAACTTTCACTTTAAATGTGCTAACCCAATTTGGGTAGAAGAATGCGATGAAAAAGGAGAGCGCTCTACCGAGCGTAAAATTCACAAATTTACGCCCATGTGTGCGAAATTCACCGTTTGGATTTTTCAAACTATTAGCTTGTATGCCAAAGGCGACCGATGATNCCTTGGTGTGTTTCAACAAATGAGACTCTAACTGAGAGCCAATCTGAAAATGCAAAATATGTATAAATAAAAAAGGCTTATAAAAGCACAACCCTCTATATTAGACCGTACACCCTTATAGGCACAAAAGTGGACCGTACGCGTCCTTAGATTTTTGTAATTTATTTTGTGATCTGATAGAGTGAACATGAGCGGAAAAATAGCAAGATTAGGTAAAACATTTATTAAGGAACTAATGGACAGGTTAAATAGATTTTAATACATAATTTAACATGCATTTAATAGAGTTGTTGTCCGTTTTGCGCATTAGTTTACTTGCCGACGAACAACGTAAAATTAAAATCGTCAACCGATCGACTAGTGTGTAGCGAAACGAGTTGCAGCCGATTGCTGCGATCTGTTGGCTTTTTCTATTATTGACTATTTTTATCGGACACCTAAAAAGTAAAAAAAAAAAAGAAATGGTGGACCAATTTGAGGTTTTAGGGGTCCTATAAA